TTAGTACCTTGAAGAGCAGGCACCTGCCATTTTAGAAAAAGGGAAAAAAATAACCTTAAGTAAAATAAAGGCTATCCTGAATTACATCTGGGGATTTATTTCCCATTCTACATTTTCAGTTTTAGAGAGGTAACGACGGCCTTTTTGTTCATTTTAAAATGTCCGCGTGTTTAGATGGCATCTCTAAGTGCGAAGGAAGTCAGATATTTTTCAGCTGTGCTCACACCAGATGGAATCTCATGACTACATTTGCTTTTAGTATCTCTTTGGGGCCAATGTAGAGCTCACTGTGGTACAGTATTGTAAATTATTTCTCATATTCTGAGTTTCTTTTCTCACCTCCCTTTTTCAGTGTTCAGGATGGCTAAGAAATTTAAGTTGCAGGCTGTGTGACAGAGTCACAGGCAAATAATCACTGAACTTTTTCACAGCACCAGATCCCACCTGAGTCTTGGAGTGTGTGGTTGCAGTGCACAATTGATACCATTTTAAGTGTCAGAACTTCACCGTAAATAAGCCTGTTATTTGTAGTTTGGTGAAGTACTCAGAGCTGTCTGCTAAAGACCTCTAGAGATGTAGTTCAGAGGAATGTGGTGGTAAGTACTGCACCAACAAATCCTGAGATTCTGTCGGATGTAATCCTGGCCATTAAAGTGGTATCAAACTGCTGTATCTGCATAGTGCAGACACAATCAATCCTTGTTATGGAATTGCCTCATAGTCCACCCAGTTGCAACTTATGTTCTTGGATTTTATTGGGGGAGGGTTCAGACATTGTCATTAACTTCCATGCGTTTTCCCCCACTGCAGCTTCCTTTTTTTTCATTGCAGGAAATCCGTTAAGGAGACAAAATCCAAACAGGTGTTTTTGGTAGTGTTAGAAGCTGTCTGTTTAGAAGTCCTTCCCAAAACAAGTGTGCAAAATCAGAGGACAAAGTAGAGCTTGTACATCCAAGTGCAACACTTTCACCCAGGGCTAAAGATTATATGTATCTTAGCCCACTTAAAGCATATTTATCAGATGGAAAATCCTGTTCAGTGGGATGTAACAGCATGAAGCCACCTAGAGTGGTCTTAACTGACCAGATAGGCGGGATATAAATAAAATAAATAAATAAATAAATGAAATGTGCATAAAATTGGTACCCTTCTTTTATGTGACATTCATGCATGCCCAGTTTTCCTTAGCTGCTCTCACAACTAAGATGTTTGGCCTAAAAAGCTGAGATGCCTAAATCTTTTAGTATTGCCTGTGTCTGAAACCAGGATGCTAAGCTGTATAAATTGATATACAGTATCAGTATTTTTATTCTTGCAGAAATGACATCCTTACTGCAACTGAGAAGGAGATAGTCTGGATGCAGCATTTTGTTGTTCCATAAATGATCCTCTGTTGACGGGAACAGGAAAACACACTTGGAGACTGAACTGATAGTCAACAGCAATATGTCTTGGGACTGAATTAAAAATATTGCCTTTATGCTTTATAAGCGCCATTAATTTTATCCACCAGTTCTAACCTTCACCTGCATTCAACAGGCATTCTTGGCATCTTTTGTGAAAGCCTCCATAGGGCATGTCTACTCTGCAGAACTAAACTGGTTTAATTGCCTTATTGCCTTAGGTTTCTATTCAGGCCTGCTAGAAATTCTGGTTTTTCAATGAAGCAAAGGCATTTTAATTTATTTCTCTTGGATCCTTGTTTTCATTTCACATGGGAAGTGCCTTTACTCTAGGGCAGGGATCAGGAAGATGTGACTCTCCACATGTTGTTTGACTGTTTCTCCCAGTTCAAGCTAATGCCTGTTGAGGAGAAACCATGGAAGCTGAAGTTCTCGATCTCTGGAGGGCTCCATTCTAGAAAAAGTTTGCACAAGCACAAAGCTCTCATTGCTTGCAAACCCTCTGATTTTCCTCCTTGTGCAGGAGTCAAATTTAGTACTTTAATTCCACTCCCATAAGCCAGTTCATGATAAGGCTATGTGTTTGCGCTGGTTGTGCGAGCTGTTCTACAAGCAGTTATTTAAGTGCTACCGTAATATTGTATGCTTCCTACAGTGAGAATGTGAAATGGTATCTTATGATATAAGATTTGCTGAAATTTGCTAAAATATTTCTATACGTGGAAGAGAAAACTAAGATGTGACAAGCAGCTGATGCTCTGAATCAGTCTAGGATAATGGAGTAAATGAAGCAAGCTGGAGGCTTAGTGTGGACAAGATGGCAATATTGTTTGAGATTAGTTTCTCTGCCCAGCTAAATAACATTTGGCCTCTTCTGAAGGGGGTTGTTCTGCCCATAAAGGGTTAGGCCCATAGTTTGTATATGCTTTGGAATCCATCAGAGGTGTCATTAGAAGGACCAAGTATTCTAGGTGGCTCAGAGTGTTTTTTATCAGTTCAGGTGGATGAGCTAACTATGACTTGACTGACAGAAAGAGAAATTTCAAACAGTCATCATTCACATTTTCCTAACTTCCAGTTTGGATTATTGCAGTATATAATATGTGGAGCTGCAGTAGAAAACAGCTCACAGATTTCAGTTTGTCCAAAACAGGACAGCTAGACTGAAAACTGGGTCTTGTTTCAATGGTTATTATTATGCCTTTGCACTGGTTACCTGTCCCTTTTCAGGCCCAATTCAAGGCACTGTTTTCAGGCTTTGAAGCCATCAGCCGCTTGAGGCTGAGGTACTTGAAGGAATGTCTTTATTCACCTACCTTCCTACTGTCATCATCCATGGCTGCTCCCACCAGATGCAGTGGTGGCTATGAGAGAGATGATCTTTTCTTTGGTGGTGCCTTAATTGTGGAGTGCCCTCCTTGGAGAGGAAAATTCGGTACCTATATTAGCAGCAGTTCATAACCAAGGGGAGATGAAACTTTTTTCCCCCTCACACACACATTTGGAGAGCTATTTTAGTATTCTTAGTCTTCTCCACTGTCTTGTTCCTCCCCCTGGTAATTGTAGGACTCCCTGATAAGTATTACGATCTTATCAGGTACCACCCTGTGCTTACTTCCCTGCTACAGATGTTATGCTATTTTATCTTGTTCTTTTGTGTCTTATTTTTGTAAAGTGCTTGTGAACCAAGCAGGGAATTTTGTTTACTGTGAGATGAAACTTTTTTCCCCCTCACACACACATTTGGAGAGCTATTTTAGTATTCTTAGTCTTCTCCACTGTCTTGTTCCTCCCCCCGGTAATTGTACAGTATTATGATCTTATCAGGTACAGTATCACCCTATGCTTACTTCCCTGCTACAGACGTTGTGCTATTTTATCTTGTTATTTTGAGTCTTATTTTTGTAAAGTACTTGTGAACTACGCAGGGAATTTTGTTTACTGCGCTGCCTGAAAGGGTAATAAATAAATACCATATTTTTCCATGTATAAAATGACACTTTTTCCTTAAATAATTTGAGAAAAAATTGAGGGTTGTTTTAGACAGCATGGCGCTTAGCAAAAAGGATGGGGAAGAGTTGCTCTCTTCCGTTTTGCTAAGCTCCATGTCTTCTCAAAAGGCAAGGGGCGCGGGACTTTAGCAAAAAGGAAGGGGAGGCGTTGCTCCCTTCCTTTTTGCTAAGCTCCGTGCCTTCTCAATAGGCAAGGAAATGTGGCAGTCACTTTGACAGCCGCTTTCCCTGCCTTTTGCCAAGGCACGGGGCTTAGCAAAAAGGAAGCCCTTTGATCCCTTCTTTTTCTAATTTGGGATTAAAAAAGTGGGGGGGGGTCATCTTATACATTGGGTTGTCTCTACATATATGGTATGTACCTAAACAAATAAAAATAGTGCTTTCCAAATGTCTGAAATATTGTCATACACAGCACAAGGATCTATTCCGTGCTAGCTTAGACATCAGTACAGTCGTGCCCCGCTTAATGATTACCCCGTATAACGACGAATCCGCTTCACGATGATGTTTTTGCGATCACAAAACGATGTTTTAATGGGTTTTTTTCGCTTTGCAACGATCGGTTCCCTGCTTTGGGAACCGAGTCTTCGCATTTCGACAATCAAAACAGCTGATCGTCGGGTTTTCAAAATGGCCACCAGTTGTTCAAAATGGCTCCCCGGTGTTTTTAGGAGGCATTTTTTTGCTTAACAGGCACCCGAAAATGGTCGCCGTATAGAGGATCTTCGCTGGACGATTAGATATTTTGCCCATTGGAGGATCTTCGCTGGACGATTAGGTATTTTGCCTATTGGAGCGCATTAACTGGTTTTTAATGCGTTTCAATGGGTTTTTTAAAATTTCATTTGACGACGTTTTCGCTCTACAGCGATTTCGCTGGAACGAATTAACATCGTCACGCGAGGCACCACTGTATTAGAGCTTTGTACTTTGAGCGGTACATTTTTGGTTGAACATTAGTAAAAACACCTTGGAGATAAGAACAGACCAACACTATGTATAATTACCTGGAGGGATGGTGGATTCTCCCTTGCAAGAGGTGTTTAAGCAGGTACTGAACAGCCATCAGTTGGGGACGCTCTAATTCTTCCTTTCTTGTGTCAAGCACAGGGTTGGACTAAATGGTCTATAAGCCCATTACATCTCCATAATTCTGTGATAGTCTACTTCCACTTATCTTCCACTAAGAAGTCAGGTTAGCAAAAATGGAATTACCCTCAATTTATCCTCACAATATACTGTATCTTTGAAGGTTGCTAAGCTAAGTTTGTGTGACTGCCTTAAGATCACCCAGTGTACTTCATGGCTAAATGAGGGTTCAAAGTGAGATCTCCCCAGTCTAATATTGCTGTTTCTACTGTTACTCATAGTGACATTTTCCATGCTGTCTTTTTCAGTTTCTTTTACTCAGAGGAAATATATGCCTATGACTATGCAGAAGATACTCTGCTGGCAGTTCCTGCATCTGGTGAAGTAACTTAAGGAAGCTGATGTCACAATAGTGCTGTGGCTTTTCGTAAACCACTATAGGACTCCCTGAGTTGTTTTGCTGACCTTTGAAAAATGTCTCTCTCTTCTTTTCCAGGTAAAACGGAAGTTGAACTTGGAGACTGACCACCAGTACATTGCAGAGAGTGCTCAAGCAACCCGAGGAAAAGTGAAAAATCCTGTCAAAGGTGCCGAGAGTGCTTTGCACTTTAATTTACTCCATAGTACTTTTGAGGTTCCTTGCCCTGGTGGCCTGATAAGGCAGGGTTCCTGGCTTGTGGGGTGATCTAGTTCTAATCAAGGAGATGTTTTGTGTTCAAGGAAAACTGTAGTGGAAAGCTTTGAATATGCTACTTTTCTTGTTGCTTTTGAACCCAAGACAGAAAAAAAGCCCTTAAGCTTTCCATCTTGTCATGTGTAAAGGAAGCTGAGAATATGCAGCCAAGAGTATGAACTATGAGAGCATGCTCTCATTTCTGCTTTGCAATGTGCTTTATATCTAGTGCCAGTGGTGGCTCATGCAAGCATTTTCTGGAGAATGATCAGCTTCTACAGCAGCTTCACAGAATCAGGAGAGGCATCCAGGACATAAGTGATTGCTTCAGAGCTGTCGAAATTTGTGGCTGCATGATCCGAACTAACAGATCCTTTGCCTCTGCTGAAGAGGTGGAAAAAGTTACTTTTTTGGACTATAGTTCCATTGACTATGTCAGATGGGGTGTTTTAGAATTTTTAGTCCAAAAAGTAATTCTTCCAAGCTCTGCTTTGCTTCTGCATCACTTTGCTGCATCCTCTAATAAGGAGATTATGTCCTCTTCCCATTCAGCAAACTCCAAGACAAGTTGTAGTCCACTCACATCAAGCATGTGGTGCCTTTAGCTCTCCAGCAGTCCTTATCAGCCTTATCCAGTATAGCTAGTGGCAAAGGACTGTTTAATTTACAATTCCAAATAACTGGAGAAGCAAGGATTCCCAGCTCCTGTCCTTATTTAGATAAGAGACTTAAGGAGTTGAACAGCCACATGAGTCACTGCTATTCATGGCTTAGTGTATTCGGGGAGCACACTGCTTCGTAGACCACCATGGATGCCTAGTAAAATGGAAGTGCAAGTTATTTTGATTCCAATTGTTTAAAAACTGCCAAGGCTGGTAACTTCAAAGCTTCAAAGTTAGCACCCTGCGAGTCTGAGCTTTTTGTCAGATAAAAGCAGATATCCCTAAAAGAACATAAAAGTGAACTTGAAAGTATGGCAATGACTGGTGGAATCATTGAAACTAGAGGCAACCTAGTAGAATACTTCAGCAGCTCTCTCTTTCTTTCACTGCTTCATCTAATCTATTTTACTTCTGTTAAAGGGAAATACATGTAAGTTAGATTCCTAGTTCTGGGTATCCTTCCACTGTTATTGTGTTCCATTGGTAGGTAGCTGAGCTCCATTGGGAACTAATTTTGGCAAATCAAGTGATTTCTTCCCTTTCCCCCCAAAAAACGTAATTTAGCGCTCTCTGAGACGATATCTAGAACTACAGAACAGCAGTACAACTATTCCCTGCACGTAAATGGGGCATCATAATATGGCCTCATGAACTCTTGTACTTCCACAGTCTTTCTCCGCGGGAAATTTGGCCTCACTTTCTCTTTTTCTTCCTGCTATCTTGGATACTCACAGCGGAAACCCTGGGCGATGCTCAGTTTATGATCTGAGCCAGTGAGGAGCAATTCTTCGGAAAGCTGCTTGACTCATCATGCAGTTGAGGATCACACACTGTACCAGTCTATATTCTAAGCCAGGCAATGATGAACTTTGCAAGATGTAATGAAGTCCTCATTGATCCCTAGGGGTAAAGTCTCCTGGAGAGAAATCCCGCTATGAGACCTCTTTGAATTTGACCACCAAACGTTTCCTGGAGTTGCTGAGACAATCGCCTGATGGGGTTGTGGATCTCAATTGGGCTGCAGAGGTGCTGAAGGTGCAGAAGAGGCGGATCTATGACATCACAAACGTCCTGGAGGGCATCCAGCTGATCACCAAGAAGTCCAAGAACCATATCCAGTGGCTGTAAGTAGAGCTTTGCTTGCCTTGCCTATCTGTGGATCCTCTTAGCCCTAATCATCACAACCAGTGGTGAGGAATGTTAGGAGTTTAGTTCAACAACATCTAGAGTACAACAAGTTGCCAACTCTGGTTTAAGCTTTTAGCAGTTCTTGGGATGGCCAATATTTGATTACTCCAATTGAATTACACTGATTTTTAAACTACTTTTTGTCTCAAAAAAAGAGGTCAAATCTTTACTATTATTTGCATGAGATCTAAATTTGGACATGGTACTTTTTTGGATATGTAACCATGATGGAAGAGGGATTCTGGGAATTACTATCCAAAAAAGTAAGTTTTTTCCCCCTGGGCTCTACAAAAAAGTTGTTTTTCATGTCTTTGAATTTTGTTTTGCTTTAGGAAATAAACTTTTGTCTCCCTTATTAGAGGATTTGTAAAGATGTGCTTTGAGTCATTGGACAGATATATAAACTGTGGGAGCTAAATGGGGTAAGAGTGATAAGTTATCGCTGATAACCATACTAGACTTAATGTAATGTATGTTGCGTGTGTGTGTGTGGTTTTTGTTGATCAGTGTTCTTTCACAAGTGGATCTCATGACTAAGGTTTTGCAGACTGGCCTGTTCTGAAAGAAAGAAAAAACCTGTACTAAGAGAAATAGGAATTATTTCTATTAATTAAATGAATTAATTTAGAAACTAAAGAACCTCTTAATGACGGTGAAAGAGGACAGTGCAAGAAATGGTCTGAAGCTCAACCTCAAAAAAACTAAGATCATGGCCACTGGTCCCGTCACCTCCTGGCAAATAGAAGGGGAAGATATGGAGGCAGTGACAGATTTTACTGTCCTGGGCTCCATGATCACTGCAGATGGTGACAACAGCCACGAAATTAAAACGTGCCTGCTTCTTGGGAGGAAAGCGATGACAAACATTGACAGCATCTTAAAAAGCAGAGACATCACCTTGCCGACAAAAGTCCGAATAGTCAAAGCTATGGTTTTTCCAGTAGTGATTTATGGAAGTGAGAGCTGGACCATAAAGAAGGCTGACCGCCGAAGAATTGATGCTTTTGAATTGTGGTGCTGGAGGAGACTTGAGAGTTCCTTGGTCTGCAAAGAGCAGAGGTCATCAACCCCCGGTCTGCGACTCAGCGGCGGTCCGTGGTCCGAGCCAGACCGGGCCGCAAAGAGAGGCATCTGCCCCCCCCGCACACACTCCCCTCCCCACAGCTGCTTTGCCCACGCACAAACGTGCCAGCACCGGCCTGAGCGCTCCCTCACCCCTTCACAGGGCCAAGCTGAGACCATTGCTGTTGGGTCCGTGCCGCCTCCTGCTCTGCCGCCGCCGCCATGAGCTTCTTGTTCTAAGTGTGAGGGCCGCCCGGTCGGTCAGTCGGTCGGTAGATGAAGGAAGGCAGGCAAGCAGGCGACCAGGGCGATGGCACAAACCTCTTGCTGGCCCCGAGGTCTCCTCAGCAGGTTGGGTCGGGAGGCTTTGCCCACGGGCCCAGGAGCAACCCCCGAGCCAGCCCTGCTTCTTTGTGAGAAGAGGGAGCCCTTTGGCCTCCCTTCGCACCGCCTGGGCACGGCTCGTTAGGGCTGCCTGCCCGACGGCCACCCCAGGCAGGGCTGGCTGGAAGGTCGCAGCTTCCATGAAGGGGGAAATCGGTGGGGGTTTACTTGGAAGTAAAAGGCTCCTGGGGCCTTTTCAGCCTCTCCTCGGGGCTTCGCCTGGCCTCTCCGTGCCTCGCCCTGCTCCCCTTCTCCCCCCTTTCACTTTCATTTCTGCACGTTCTGCTTCTTTCCCTCATATGTGTCTCCCCCTCTCCCTTTCCTGCCTTTTCTCCTTCTTGCCCTTGACCTCCTCCCTTTTTTCCTTTCTTGCAGGCACCCCCAACTCTTCCTCCTCTTCATTTCCTTTTGCCTTATTTCCCCCTTACTAGGCAAAAGAAAAAGAGAGAGAGAAGTGCTTCTTTACTTCGGAGGTTGCGTTTACTTTGCTAGTTCCCCTTCAGTACTCCTCTTTCTCCCCTCCTTTGCCTGCTAAGAGATTTTTTTAAAAGACTGAAAGAACTAGAAAACGGATTCTGGATTGTGGATTCCTCTTGATCAAATGGAAGGAACTGAAGGTATGGGGGGTTCAGGAATCTTTTCTGTTACCATAGTGATCAAAGTCGAGATGGGGGGTGTTCAGCCAGTGTGTTTCCTTCTGCTGAAATGGTTGGTTTTGTTGCCTTCAAACCACATCCGTTCTTAAAAGTTGGAAAGTCTGTGCATGTCTGTCTGTCTGTCTGTCTGCCTGCCTACCTACAAAGTAGCTGTCTGTCTGTCTCTCTGTCTACCTGTGTGTATACATATGCATTTGTATATGTACATTTGTATATATTTGCCTCCTGGGGGGGGGAAGGGGGTTATATGAATACCTGAGTGATCCTTACAGCTGAGTTGGGGGAGGGAGGGGCCTTGGAGGTTGTAAACTAGTCTGGTTCCCCCATATGTCTCTGTGCTATTCCCTCCATTATAGCTGCTTGGAACTCCCTAGTGTTTTTTTTTCCTTTTTCTTGTTTTGGTAGCCATAAAATGAAATTTAATCCCTTGTCTTCAGTGCCTTCCCAAGCCTTCTCAAGGGAATACAGAAGGTAATGAATCGCCCCTTCTCCCCAGTATTCTTTTCCATGAGACTGATCTGTCCCAGGTAGTACTTATAATTAAGCAATGTATGGGTATCAAAGAGATAGGTGTTTTTGTTTAAGTGTGTGTTGTTTTTTTGCTGAAGCTGATAGATTACACAGCTAGTGCTGTTATGTATATGTATAGGGGGCATCCTGGACAATAACCTTGAGAAATTTCTCATCCTCCTTTTGTATTCTTGTACTGATGCCAACATTGTGTTCTTAATGTATGTTTTGGGGGAAAAAACTGGAATGGAGAGGCAAACATTGAGTTCTGTTTTAAAAAGGCGTTTTAGAATCTTATGTATCTAAATTTAGCAATCAGCTGCATAGTACTTGACATCCAACAAAGTTCCTCTCTTTGTTGTTGTTTATTCGTTTAGTTGTGTCCGACTCTTTGTGACCCCATAAACCAGAGCACGCCAGGCCCTCCTGTCTTCCACTGCTTCCC